GGGACCTTTAGGAGCTAGAAATACGAAATTTGGGATGTACCCTCTTACAAAAGCAACGCATATTCCATTTGTTTTAAATTATGATCACGACCATTTTCGTCTTTGAAAACCGTACAAATTAGTTTGGGTTTGAAGCTCGAGACTCAAAAGTAAAGTTTACTAAGCTAAAATAGTTTATGAATCATAATCCTAAACATATTTTATATGAGCTACGTGTATATCAAAGAAAATAAAGTCGCTGTATGACACTAAATTTTGGTTACGAATTTCTGATATATTTTCTCCCCGTGTAAGGACGGGTAAACGAAGAAGACTCTAGACGGTTATAAGGGGCGGGGTAGAAACTCAAGTGGAGTGGACTGGCAGACAGTATGACGCCAAAATGCAAGACAAGACAACCTGGTCGATAACAAAGGTAAACAGGCAACGGCCAACGGGCAACCAAGGAGCAGAGCGACTGAAAAAGCCTCGGTCGTGGGATTCGATCGGGATTGCCGGCTCAGCCCAACTGGGTTCAGAACCAGATGCAGATACAGATATAGATACACGTACGCGCAGATACGGATTCAGATACGAGCACACCCGCCCCTGCCGCTGAGTGCCCAACTAATCATTGTGTGATTCTTGTTTGTTTATTTGCCCGGCTTTATGAAGAGACTTTTCGGTAGAAATTATTTATTGTCGCCTGTGTTTATGTATCTGCGTATCCGAGTATTCGAGTATCTCAGTGCAACTGTGTATCTGTGTGCGCAGCCCTTCGAGTGGGACACAATTAAACAGTTAGCTAGAAATCGAAACGATTACGGATTCCCCTAGATCAGCGAATTTCAACTATTCGGGAGTGACAAAAACGTTGTGACTTAAATTTATTTGCCACTGGTTTTATAAGTTTTCATGTCCTGCAAGCAAAAGGACAACCTGAAGTTAAATTTGTATTACTTATGGATTCAAATGCATTTTATTTTTAAAGAATCTGTGGCTTTAGCTTTCTGTCATATACATCATCATTGGCTATACTACTGCCTAAAATTTAGGGACCATAAAAAACTTGACTTATTGCAACAATTCGCTTTGCCAATAATATTTTCCAGTTAAATATGAAAAACTGTCAACATGCCCAAGGCAAAGTAAATAAAACTGTACTCCAGTCAAGGGTTTCTTCCATTGTCAGTGATCTGAAAAAATTAAAAACCCCCGGAGACGTGTGTTCCTGCATAGCAAAAGAGACAATGGAAAAGAAATTCACCGATGGGGATCCCTGGGCCAATCGATCTGGCTGCCGTATCGCTATATAAACTCAGTAGAACCACGATCTGCCACAACAGTTTCTCCACTGATATTCCATCATGAAGTTCTTCGTATTCTTCGCTATCGCCCTGGCTTTGGTGGCCTGTTTGGTGCAGGCTCAGCCCGTTCCCGATGAGGATCAGACTCCAGTGGCTAATCCTCTGGTTGATGAGGAAGTCCACCAGGAGGTGGTGGAGCACAGTCGCCAGAAGAGGGCCACCTGCGATCTTCTCTCAAAGTGGAACTGGAACCATACCGCCTGTGCCGCCCACTGTATTGCCAGGGGAAACAAAGGAGGCTACTGCAGCGACAAGGCCGTCTGTGTGTGCCGTAACTGATTTGGATTGGATTGGATAGTCTGGACGAAATACACACATCCGGAAGACTATCAAGATAAAAATATTAAACTATACAAAAATTGTAAATATCTCAAAAAATATACGATCTATTTAATCAATCAATTTACAAAATTAATGTATTCAAGAGAAATATCTAAAAAAAAAAGCTTCGACTTTGCTATTAATGAAATGCGATTATAAAGAAAAGACATGAAAAAAAGAAAAATTAGCAAATATATTTTAGAGAAAGATGAGTGGATTAAAATTATAAATGGCTGTTAGGATGTTGTTCTACAGGGTCAAAACAATGTACTCTTTGAGAGCTCAACATGGTCTTCTCTAAGTAGTGGTTTGATCCTTAGGGCAATTTTTTTTTTGTTTACTAAAAAAAGGAAATACTGATTTTAGGTTAGAACTTTTAAACTTTAGAATCTAAAGTTTAGATTTACAAAGTCATATAACGACTAAATTTGTCAGTGTCTAGTTATGCACTAATCGGAAACTGCATTCGCATATATAGTTTTCCGCATAATTTTCAAATAAACAATGCCATTTTGCCAACTCTTACAACAAATAGACTTATTATCATAAACCGGTAGCGGTTAACTTTACTATAAAAGACAATTGAAAGCTGAACCAGGTAAACAGTTCTAAATGTGATATCACACTATGAAGATCGCGATTATCCTGGCTCTAACTTTCGCTGCAGTTTGCGCATTGCAGGCTCAATCTATTCCGGAGGATCCTCTGCAGCAGGATATTCACAGAAATCTCTTCCAGGATGTCGAGACCAACACTCGCCACAAACGGGCCAACTGTAATCCCACCGATTGTAATGCCTTCTGTTCAAAATCGGGCTTAAAAGGATACTGTTCAAGGAGGTGCCGTTGCGCATGATTTTTATTTTCATAAAGGCTTATGAGAAAATCGACCAGAGAATATTTTAGTTAGGAATATTCTGAAATCTTAACAAAATCTTTATAAAACCGCAATAAAATCTCTCTTAAATTCTTCCAAGAGCCAAAAGTATTCCTTAGTAAGAATAATGAATGAACTCTTATCGCCACTTTCCGTTTAGCGGGGTCAAAAAATTGAACCGAAGCAAAAAAAGGTATAGCAACAATTTCCGCTGCATTTCCGTTTTTCTACGGTTTTTGCTATATAAATATGGCAAAGTGCGACTACAATTCGTTCTTATCAATTAACCGAACGAACAGTCGTCTAGAAATGATCGACATTGCAAAAAAACTGGGGAAAAAGAAAGAGAAACACGCGCAGAGAGCGAGATACACGACACTTAATTAACGCCAATTACAATGGTTAATAAGAGTATGTAGAAATTATCGCTGTACGCGACCGACTTGTGGGTTTCTTTTAATTTCCGAACGTTTTGGCGGCTATTTACACGGTTCTATTGCCTTTGCCCTTACATGGCAAGTGCAACCACTCGCGAGCAATTCCCCATTTGGACTGACTCTTCAGTTATCAGCACACTATATAATCTCAAGATGGCAGACGTTCTCGATCAAGAGCTAGAGAAAACACGAGATGAACATAGCGCAGCTCTCCCGAAAATTTGTATAGTTGCACATTCTTCTTGCTGTGATGCGAGAAAGACAGAGATTTGAATTTGGCGCGCAGTTTAACTATCGATATTTTAGGGGTTTTTCAAAAAATCATGATTGAAATAAATAAATATCATTGTTATAAAAAAAAAGAATACGTTTTTTTTATAATTTTGTGTTTGATCATTTTGGTATAAAATAATATAGCTTTGGAATAATTAAATATTCTATAATGAAATTTTATAAGAACTTGTAGGTACGGTAAAAGTTTTATCTTACATTGAGTTTAATTACTATATATATTAACCATAGAAGATAAGGTTCATAAAAAAATTATTTAGAAAGTGATGGGTTTTTGAAAACCATTTCCTCTTAAATTCCCTAGAGATGGTAACCTTAAAAATATTTAAGAACTAAATGTGTCGATTTATAAGGCCTATCGATATAAGCTTATATTACCTATAAGGTTTCTCAGAAATATTTACTAGAATTATTTTGACAACTGACCGAACCACCGTCACCCCCCGCCGACTCCTCTTGGCTATAAATTAAAAGAATTCCACACTTATCGCCAAAAAGCATTAAGGACCACGTCGCTCTTAAGTCGACGCAAATATACAGCACACGACTTTATCAACGCCGCACTTTCAAACGGAACGCGCTTGTGCTGACGTGGTGGCTGCAATTAGTTTTCGGAATTATAATATTTAATCGATCAATTAAAAATATGCTGACGAAGGCCCTAATCCTGTTCGGCCTACTGGCCTTGGCCCAAGGATACAGCTTCACCTCCCGCGAGGTCAAGTGTCACGGTGAGGAAATAACCTTTATAAATCAGCAACAGGCGGCTTTGCACTTGTTGACCCTGGTACCCATATAATCGGGATTCTATTAATTATAGTGTGCAAGGCCGTGGTTACGGAACTGGAGGAGGCCGTCGCCAAGGAGGACTCCCATAAGATGGCCGATGTCAGTGGCTTCCGCCTGGATGCCCAGGGAAATTCGATTAGCAAGAAGGTCCGCCTCGTGAAATCTGAGATGTACCTCACCGAACTGATGGAGAGTATTTGTGAGTATATCTATATGCATATCTCAATTTAATGGACCCATAAGTTCTATAATAATATGTTGATTCCACGTTGTATTTTCATTAAACTAGTGTTCGTATTAAATATAACAAAAGGTTAAACGTGCACTCAGAACCCATAAAGTTAATAAGTCTAACCTTTAAACGAGTTTTTAAATTATTATACTGTTATAGAACTCATTTTTTTAGTACTCAAAATTATTGATTTATTTTATGAAATCTACTAAATCCTCTTTTTAATTACTTATTATTTTAGGTGAAAAAATGGACGATTACCTGAAGGCAACCTACAAGAGCAATGGTAAATTCACACTCCTAAAGATGCTCGTCAATGGCCAGATGAATCCGGAATCCTCGTTGGTGGACTTTGTGCAAGACGGCGATCTTAACAAGAGCCTGGGACACTTCTGCAACGAAGTGCTGGAGGACAACGATGAGATCTTTGTGAAAGCCTTCCAGGCCGAAGAGCTCGGAAATGATCTCGACATCAAGATCTGCTCGGAGCAGGCCAGTTACTGCGATGAGGCGCCCGTCCAGGAGGAGTACGACTTTGATGGCAAGGAGGAGCTGTAGCTTGTCCCAGTGATAGCCTAGTCAATTAACGAATTTCCTTGATCGCCGACGGTGCTGATCCTTGTACTGATCTTTCGAACGAAAATTATTTTTAGTTAAAGTAAAAGAAAACCACCAAGCCAATTGTTATCAATTAGATACGACAATAAATTCCAAGTGCAATGCCTTTAATATTTTATTAACGAGTAAGTGCTTAATATCATTTTCGGTTTAATCCTCCTTGCTGTAAAGCAAACGTGTTGGATGAAATGTTTTCCGGATCACTCCGCTGTTACTTACGGTTCATCGGTGACATTACGCAGCATCTGGTGGCGAATCACCAGAAACGGAGCTCCAAATCCAACGATTCCCGCAATGAGATAGCACACTGTGAAGCGCATCGGGCTATCCAAGCCAAAGGGCAAGTTCTGTAAAATATAGAAGCTATAAGATTGCTAAGCCCGAGACGAACTGGTAGGATTACCGCTCCGGGACAACCTCCTCCATATCCGTGTCCATGGCGCTTTAGTGGCCCGCAAAACTGGCTAATGGGCTTACGAAGTGAAAACCACATATCTAAGTTTTAAACAGCTTTTTGAGACTGAAATATTTAGTTCTTAGGTAGCTGACGAATGAGAAGTGACTCCCTGATTTCCAAAAACGTAATGACAGTTTTTTGCTTTGAACGATCGCCTACTGTTGCTATTGTCTTTTTGGGTATGTTGAAAAGGAAATGGGGTATTATGCTTGATATAAATGGTGTACTCTATAACTACATATCTGTTTTCATTTTTAAACAAACATAATTTTAAACGATAGGAACACGATTACGTTCTTTATGACATTGTTAAAAGATTTGGGTACTATACCAACATAACTTATGGTCCTATCACGTCTAGATGCATATATTAACGCGCAAAATCATTCCAATCGGTAGATCCTTATAATATAACCATCCTTTAAATGAAAACATCCATCGCTCGGTTCTACGGTTACGGGTAACTTTATTTCGTTTCCACTTTTGACTTAATTTTAAGCTGTAACACACTGAAATGGCCTCCCGGCTCCTTTACCAGATAACGCTACATCTGAAAAGTAAATAATTCTTTGATAAACGGAATGCACATTTAGAATAGACCAAACTAACCTTACATTTGTTGTTGCTGTCGCCTGGGGAGCACCTTACTTCTTGAGCAGCTGGTGCCTGACGATCAGGAAGGGCGATCCGAAGCCCAAAACACAGCCGATGGTGAACAGGGCGGTGATCCTGTACTTGTTCGTCAGTCCGAAGGGCAAGTTCTGCAAAAATATAGTTTTTTTCCAGTGTTAAGATTGATTTTCCACTGAATTCTATGTGGTCACGAAAATTATGTAACCCGCGGGTAGCGCCTGTTTTCCGGTACTCACCTCGCCGGGAACTCCACCGTGTCCGCTAAGGCGAACCATCGACTGGGAGAAGTTGCGTGCAATCACACTGCTGCGGCCCAACATTTTGCAATTTGGTTTATTTCAGAGATAATTACAGAAAAATATAGTTCGCAGTTGGTTCGCGAATTAGAGATGTCAGACGGTCGATAGCTTCCCTGCCAATTACAGTTCGTTAACAGCGAAAGGGGGTGCTGTTAACATTGCCTATCGGTATTTATATCCTTCCAAAGATACATTTTTTCAAATGCACAACAGAATATGGATTTCCAAATTTTTACACATAACAACATATACTTTCTTTTATAATTTATACTATCGATTTCTTATTTATTGCAATACGCTTTTTTAAATTGTTAGGAACAATAATTCAAATGATCACAAGTGATCAGTAATTTCTGATCAGGTTTGCTCTGCTGAACGCTCATGACACATTACGATGGCAAAAAGTATAATTTTTTACTTCAAGAACTGCACCAGACAATTTTAAATTGGTCATACCATAAGTTTTTAATTTTATTAAAAATGAGTTTGAAAAAACGAACTCGGTTGCCACCGCAATATAAGCATTGCACACAGCAATCGCACATGTGCGTTCAGCATAACAGTCCTAAGAATTCAGTGATCAGTTATCATCATATATTAATTTTGGTCTATTTAATATTCTTTCCAGATCAACAAGAATAGAAAATCACGAATACTGATGATAGTTTGACAAGTGCAACTATCGCTCAATCACTGCTTTCACTTAAACAGGTGCATCGCTAAGTGTGACCGTATTCGCGCATGAAAACACTGAGCCCGTGGATGGCCCATTCCTTGTGATCACGATCAGTTGTATGAAAATAATTCTCGGCCAGAATGGAAGAGGATCCGGTGGAAGAGCTGGAGCGCACTTTTATATTCGACCCGATCGGTTTCGGGTACATCAACATGTCCCACGGAATGCTGGTGGAGATCTCCGAGGAGCTACGTGCGAAGTTCCCAAAAGAACCGCGTCTGCAGTTCTCCCAGCTGAACAACCTTCACCTGGCGTCCCGAAGTGGCGAGATTTTGAGATTCGTCGAGATTCTGAACTCCGTTGGTGGCCGGGCGATGCAGTCCCACCTGGTCAATACAGTGAGTACCCGATGGACGAGACACATTGTTAATGGAATGCCTTTTTGCGTAATTGTCTTAATTTACTACTGCGTCATTAATGAAAATCGCCGCCGCATGTATGTATACGTATTATTCGGTTTATATGTAAAAACCAATTCTGCTGTCGAATAGAGCGGGTCTATACGCTCCATTGCTGGTTTTTTGCTTTAGGTATTTACTTGGTTTGTCATTGTTTATGAGAGAGAACGAGGGAGAGAGCGGGAGCGAAATAGTGTTCTTCCCGTTGTACAGGGAACATCAGCTAACGGGGAAATCGTATATTAATTAATTTTATTGTTCACTATATTAAATTTCTTTTCTCACTTTTATTTTTTTAAATGAAGAAAATAATTCTTCAAAAAATTTAATAATAAATTAGAAAAACATTAATGATTGCTTAAAAAATGTCATGTATTTATTTGTTTGACCAAGAAAAAGAACATCAACTCTTTGAACACTTTTTCAAACTTTTTGTTTTGATATACCTATACTAATTTCAAAAATTGTAATATTTTGGTTATACTTGTACTTTTTGAACCCAAGAAATATGGGAAACATTCATCATAATTTAACATCAAATCTTCTTAGTGGGAATATAGAGGTAGAACCTGTAGTTGTTGTGTTTTTATAACTTTTGTGCCTGCCAAAAAGACAAGCAGGCAATAAATGACTGAACAATTGAAATGAAAACCCTATTTAAGGCGCCTAAAGTCACTTTCACAATCAATTGTATATCAAACGGATGACACTGGGTCCATCTTTAACCAATTACTCAGGGGTGGCATGGCTATCTGGACACGGAATTGGCCTACTGCCAGACCCCGAGAGCTTTGCAGTTTCCTGAAATCCCAAACGTGCGTTTTTATTAATTTGTTTATTAACAAAATCTTTTCGACACCTTTGCTGCTGCGTCGTAATCTAATCAAAGTGTTTGGAAAAACATACATACATAGGTCTCATAAATAATGCTACTCCATTGCATTATATTTATAGATGTTGAATATTGATTGAAGATTAAGAATCAGAAAAAAATTTTCATTTTGGGTTGACCTCTTGATCTAATTTTTTAGTAGTTCTATTTATATGGAACATTTCTTATGAAAAGGCAGTTTCTTATCGCATTTGGCATATACCGAACATTGGTTTTGAATATGACTCAACTGCTGATGCTGATCCAAAATATTCTTAGAAAGGAATATTGCAATTTGAGTCCCTTATAAAAAATACAGTATTTTTGGATTATGGTTTATAGAGATTATACATCTAAGTTAAGCTGCTTTAAGATCCTAGCTTAAACTTTTTTATTGCAATCATTCCTCTCCCTATTAATAGATTTGATTTTTTTGAAATTAGATATATTTATTGATTTATCAAAATATCAATACTTGTTTGCTGTGTAGAAATGTGGTTGACTTTGGTTCCACACCCCCTCTTGTTTGTCTCGTTCTCTTATTGAGAAATGGCTCACAAGAATGCAGGCGAACAGCTGCGGGCGGTAAACAAACCCTCAAGGACCTCTCTCCGCGAACAGCTGTTTGGTCCTGCGCAGGATCTATCGCTCCCTCTCGATGCGTTTCGTTTCCCTTCGATACGATTCAACCCCCAAAATAACTGGCAGCGTATGCAAACTTAGGGTTGAGAATGGAATCGTGAGCCTGGCGAAGTTTTATCGAGTTTTTGCTCGGTGCTCGGGCCTCCACTGTCCAGGCAGCTGCCAGTTAAAATTCAGATTCCAGGCCATGCACGCGGAGCTGTATCGGTAATACTTAGATGGACTTATTCCCTGCCTCAGCAAGAAAAGCCTTCAAATCAATCCAATTTTCCCCAAACTAATTGCAGCACTCGCAAGCGCTGGTATGAGTCCGCCTGGCCAGGAGCCGGATTCTGGCGAGGAGCTAACGACACGCTGCCCGTGACCAGCTACATCACGTATCCGGCGGTGAGTGTTCCTGGCCAGCAGTTTCTTGACCCAGATCCAGATGCTGCTATTGCTATTTCCGTGGCACAACGCAGTTGCGCCAAGTTAATGTACTTTGGCCTGGATGTTTTGCTGTTTTGCCCGATTTTCGCCCATGTAAAGCTACAGCACAAAGAACAAAGAAAGCATGCACGTTTTCCCACAGATCTTATACGTTACATTTATCACTTGCGACGCACTATTTTCGTCCAACCTTGACTGTGAAACGGCTGCGCACGCACATCATAAGTTCTCTACGGCCCCCCGTGTCTAACGTTCTATTTTCTGTACTCTATCCCCCAGAATTTCGATCAGCCAGATGGACAATCGCTGACCCCGTTAACCATGGCCGCGATGTCGGGAAATGTGAAATTCGTCAAGACCCTGCTATCGCACTACGATGTGGACTTGGAGCGGGAGTGCAATGTCATCTTTGACGGAATGGTGGTCTACGGCGCCACTGCCCTGTGGGTGGCTGCCGGAATGGGGCATCTGCCGATTGTCAAGATGCTCGTCCAAGCAGGAGCGGCCATCAATCACAACACCAAGGCGCAGTCGTCGCCGCTGAGAGCTGCCTGCTATGAGGGTGAGAATCGATCGAGGGGGATTCTCTTCCCAAATACAAACCTTATATATTGAACTATCTTATTAATAAGAACAACCCCCACAGGTCGCTTGGACATCGTCGAATTCCTTATTCACAATGGAGCCGACGTAAATGCCACAAATTTGTTCAACAACAACACGCTTATGATTGCCGCCTACAAGGGTCACCACTTGGTGGTAAACACCCTGCTTCAAAATGGATCCAGAGCCAATGATCAGGCTCTGTGTGGAGCGACTGCTTTGCACTATGCAGCGGAGAGCGGGCACCTGGATGTGGTGGTGACTCTGCTGGACCATGGAGCCACTCTTAAAAAGAATGAACTTGGAATCACACCCGCCCTGCAGGCAGCTGAACGACTCAACGAAGATGTTCTCGAGGCATTTATCCAGCGGCCAGGACTGATGAGCTTAGAGGAGCAGATCACAGCATTGGAGCTAATGGGAGCCACCTATGCAAATGACAAAACCAAATACGATGTGAATAAGGCGTACAGCTATCTGCTGAGAGCCATGCAGCTGCGTTATAGCAATCCACGCGGTGTGATCCGCAAGAAAGTTCAGCCCACGGTGCCCGCCTACGACAATTGGTTCGAGACTGAAAATCTGCCCGAACTGTATGCCATTAAACTGAATCACCACTCCATCCACATGGAATCGCTGGCCATAAGGGAGCGTATATTGGGTCGCAACAATCCGGAGTTGCCTCAAGCAATCATCTATCGCGGAGCTGTGATGGCGGATCAAGGCAGATTCTACCAGTGCCAG